GAGCTCTGGGCCCCGGCTGCTTGCAGATGGAAGGAGAGAAGCTTCCCTGCCAGGACTGGTTCAGCCAGCAGCTGGGGCATGTCCCAGCACAGGAGTAGGGACCCAAGGCCCTGGGCTAAGGATGGGCAGACCCGGGAGCTGTTGGCCAGGCTGCAGGCAGAGACGTGGACACACAGATGACTGCTCAGGCTTTATTGTGGGCTCTGCGCCCTGCCGCCGGCTCAGTTCCTCTGCATGGTGCTGCGGATCCACCCCACGTAGTTGCAGACCTTGGTGTAGACGCCGGGAATGTTGGGCTGGGCGCAGGTCTGCAGCCCCCAGGACACGATGCCCTGCAGCTGCTCCTCGCAGAGCAGGGGGCCCCCGGAGTCACCCTGCGCAGAGACAGGGCCTTGTGTTACATGGGCCCCCCTCAATGGGGCTGAGGGAGGGGGGCCTACAGGCTGGGAGCCAGGGGCAGTGGCAGGGCTGGGGTGAGGGGAGCCCAGGGCAGAGGCAGTGGGGGTTATGGGGGAAGGAGAGGGAGCCGCTCAGAGTCATGGCCTCCCAGGCCACATCCCCGGCCCACTGCCGCCCTCCCGGGAACAGTGGGGAGACCAGACAGAGCAGGGCCCATTCCCTCCAGCAGGGGACACTCCTCCACGCCCACCAGGGCCCAGCCCTGCCAGCAGGGGGCAGCACGGGGGACACACCCAAGCCCAGCCCTGCCAGCAGGGGGCAGCACGGGGGACACACCCAAGCCCAGCCCTGCCAGCAGGGGGCAGCACGGGGGACACACCCAAGCCCAGCCCTGCCAGCAGGGGGCAGCACGGGGGACACACCCAAGCCCAGCCCTGCCAGCAGGGGGCAGCACGGGGGACACACCCAAGCCCAGCCCTGCCAGCAGGGGGCAGCACGGGGGACACACCCAAGCCCAGCCCTGCCAGCAGGGGGCAGCACGGGGGACACACCCAAGCCCAGCCCTGCCAGCAGGGGGCAGCACGGGGGACACACCCAAGCCCAGCCCTGCCAGCAGGGGGCAGCACGGGGGACACACCCAAGCCCAGCCCTGCCAGCAGGGGGCAGCACGGGGGACACACCCAAGCCCAGCCCTGCCAGCAGGGGACACATCCACTCCCCCACCAGAGCTCAGCCCCACCAGCAGGAGGTAGCAGGGGATGCCCCCACACACACTTGTCAGGGCCCAGCCCAGGCAGCAGGAGTCACCCCCCACCCTCACCAGGGCTCGGCCCCACCAGCAGGGAGTGGCTGGACACACACCCACACTTACGGTCTGTAGCAGTGGGCAGCAGAGAGCACCCAGCGCGAGGCGACCAGGACGCCTCCGCACTGCACCGGGCCGTAGATGTAGGTCTGCCAAGGCTGGGAGTTGATGGGACATGTGTAGCCGCCAATGATCCGCGTCCCGTTCTTGGCAGCCCCTGCAACACCCGGTGGCAAACCCCACGTGAGCATGACAGAGATTGGGCAGGGCCACGGGATGGGTGCTGGGGCCATGGGGCTAGCTCCAGCAGTTGTAGGGCAAGACACCATGTTTTGTCAGGGTCCTAAAACCCCAGCTGCTGGAGTCATGGGAGAGGGTCAACCCCTCCATCTCTCACAGCCCCTACCATCTCCCTAGCTACCCAGCCAAGCCTCTGCTGCCTGTCCCCCCTTCAGCCCCGTCTGTCTGTCTGCCTCAGCCCGGAGTTGTCCCCACTGCCGATGCTCCCCCTCCCCCCTTGGGTGTGGGTCAGGACCAGCCCCCCCCTCAGAAATTACAGCTGTGCACAAGCTTCCCCCCACAACCCTTCCTACCCCCTCAGTGCTCCTCATCTGATCCCTTCCCCCCTACAACCTCTCACTTCTTACCACAATCCCCATCCCTGCCTCCACCTTCCCTCCCCCCACAACCCCTCCCTCTCCTCAGTGCTCCCATGACCCCCATTGGATCACAGCACACTAGGCCTGGGAGGGACCTCAAGAGGTCATCAAGTCCAGGCCCTGCCCTCATGGCAGGGCCATCTGTGTGCACACAGGTCCCATGCACACATGGCCCCTTCTGCACCCTCTCCTCCCACAACCTCCCCCATAGATTCACCCGCCCCACTCACCTGCAGTCACCAGGAGAAGTACGAAACCAATCCACTCCATGGGGCCCAGGCGCGGTAACATGGGGCAAGTGGCTGCTGCCTTTTGGCGTGTGTGAGGAGAGGGGGAGAAGGAAAAGGGAAAATTAACAGATAACTGGCCCTCCCCCAGCCATACGCGCTCTGCCCATTGACATCTACCAACTGCTTTGGGTTTGGTGCCCCTTCATCCCCAACCATCCCGCCATCCCAGTACTGTCCATCTGTCCACCCCATGCACATCCGTCCACCCATCTCTCCATCTCCAACCACCTAACCATATCTTTCTGGGGTGCCTAGGGCTTGTGAGGGGAGAGGGGTAGTAAAGGCCACCCACAGGGGGAGGGAGGAGTATGTGGGGACGCCACATCAATTAAAATGTTGGCAGCGGCATGTTGGGCATTGCACCACCTGAGTGCTACCACAAGTCACCTATGGGTATGTTCATTCATCCAGTCCTCCATCTCCATACATAGCTAATCATCTACCCTTCCGTCTCTAGACACGGCCACTCAACTTTAGACACATCCATCCATCCACCCTTCCATCCCTAGTCACGTCCGTCCATCCACCCTTCCATCCCTAGTCACATCTGTCCATCCACCCTTCCATCCCTAGTCACATCTGTCCATCCACCCTTCCATCCCTAGTCACATCTGTCCATCCACCCTTCCATCCCTAGTCACGTCCGTCCATCCACCCTTTCATCCCCAGTGACATCCATCCATTCCAAGACATGTCCGTCCATCCACACTTCCATCCCTAATCACATCCATCCATCCAACCCTAGACATCCATCCATCCAACCCTCCATCCCTAGACACATCCATCCATCCATCCAACCCTCCAACCCCAAACACACCCATCCATCCATCCATCCAAACCTCCATCCACCAACACACCCATCCATCCATCCATCCATCCAACCCTCCAACCCCAAACACACCCATCCATCCATCCATCCATCCAACCCTCCAACCCCAAACACACCCATCCATCCATCCATCCATCCAACCCTCCAACCCCAAACACACCCATCCATCCATCCATCCATCCAACCCTCCAACTCCAAACACAGCTATCCATCCATCTCTACATTCACCCCTTCCATATCTCTCCATCTATCTCCATCCCCAGTACCTCTATTCTTGAACACCCCCATGCCCATTACATGTCCACCCCCAAAACACGTCTGTCCACCCCCTGCATTCGCACATCCATCTGTCTGTCCATGCTACCACACCCATCACTGCATGTGTCCCTTCCTCCATCTGCTCCACTCCATCAGCAGACATTTGTCTGTTTGTCTGTCTAACCAGCCCCTTAGGAAGCTTTGAAAGTCTCTGCCAAAAGGTTTTGTCCATGTCCAGCTGAGGAGGGATCAGTGTCTCCCCTCCCCTGGCTGGATTGTTGCTGGAAAGCTATGCCAGAGGAATGGCTGTTGCCTCTGGTTCTGGGTGGTGCCGCCTGCCATGACTCGCTCATGGCCAAATGAATGTTCAGAGTGGGCCAGGTTGGGGATTCCCTGAGCCCATGACTGGGTCAGGCAGCGTAGACATGGAAGGCCCTGCTGCGCTGGCCCGACACCTGCCAGACGACCCATTGGGCTGCCAGAAAGCCCCAAACAGGGCTCCCAAACTCCTGCAGCTTTGGGAGCAGGCCCACCCTCCCCTAGTAACCCAGAATCTATGGGTGGGAGACGCCACCTGCATCCAGCGGGGAGTCCCAGCAGCCCCGTCTGGCCGGGAAAATGACCCGCATTGCTCGAGGTCATGTCCCCCTGAACTCTCACTGCATTGGGGAAAGGGCACATTGCAGCCCCCCAGGCTCTTGGAGTGCTTTGCCATCCCCTGCTGTGTTAGGGACCCTGCAACTTCTCCACACCTGGCCCTGTGTCAGGGGCTCTGTTCTCCCCTCAGGCCATGCTGCCAGGAGCGGGAGAGTTCGGAAATCATAGAACCATAGAGCTGCAAGAGACCTCAGGGGGTCACCAAGTCCAGCCCCCTGCCCAAGGCAGGACCAACCCCAACTAAATCAACCCAGCCAGGGCTTTGTCAAGCCGAGACTTAAAATCCTCTAGGGATGGAGATTCCACTACTTCCCTAGGGAACCCAGCCCAGTGCTTCACCACCCTCCTAGGGAAATAGTTTTTCCTACTATCCAACCTAGACCTCCCCCACTGCCACTTGAGACCATTGCTCCGTCACTACTGAGAACAGCCTTTCTCCATCATCTTTGCAACCTCCCTACAGAAAGCTGAAGGCTGCTATCACATCTCCCATCACTCTTCTCTTCTGCAGACTAAACACATCCAATCTCTAAGAATTACAAGGCTTGTGATAAAAAAGCAACAGCCCGAAAAACTACAGTTGGACCTGGGATAGAAGTGAAAAGCTACTTACAAAAAACTGTGGAGGAAACAATGTAGAAGCAGCGTTAGCTGTCAGCCAACAGGGCTTCCCAGTTCAATAGGGTGCTGACAATTAGTGTGGTTACTGGAAAGGTTAAAACAAATTGAAATCAGAAATTTGGCGGCAAATGTCAATAACTTTTTTAAAAAAGTCAAAAGTTTTGAGTGGGAAAAGCAATTGGCAGAAACAGCAAGATGCCTGCGCAAAAAAATTAAAAAAAAAATTGGGAAAATTTCAAGAACCTATGAAAAATTGTCAAAAATTTTGGGAGAAATTTCTAGAATTGGTAGGAACCATTCAAAAATTTTCAGGAAAAAGTCAAACTTTTGGAAGGAAATATCAAGAAATGGGTGGGAAATTGTTCATAACATTGTGGAGGGAAGTTCAAAATCAATTGGAGATGATTTAAAAAATCTGTAGGAAGATATCCAACATTTGGGGGGACATTGCAAGAGTTTTAGAAACATTTTTGAGAATTTATAGGAAAATTTCAAATTTGGGGAAAAATTCAAATATTTAAAATGGGAAAAATCAGGAGCTTTGGGGAAAATTTGAAATTGTTTTGTGGAAATTTCAAGAATCTGTGTGACATTTGCAAAATTTTTGGAGAAAAAGCCAAGAACCAAGGGGAAATTTGCAAATTTTGGGAAAGATTTTTCAAGAATTTATGGGACATTTTAATTTTTTGGGGGAAAATGCAAGATGCTGGGTAAGTTTTGGAAACCTGTCAACAGTTTTCATTTAGTTGGCTTTCAAACTGGATCAACTTTGCCTCATATAAAATATTCTGCGACAAATTTAAACTGAAATTTCATACCACTCTTTTTCATTTTTAAACATTTCTTAACGTGAGTTTCCAAGATAAGCAATTTTAAAAATTGATTTGCGGGGGCAGTCTATTAATTAAGCAGCATTTTCAAAACAATATTTAAAAAACGACACTTTCAGGAACTTTCAAAACCAGGAGCTGGCAAACCAAACCATTTTCAATACTAAAAGGCTTTTTGCTGGTTAGTTAAACCATTCCTTTGTTTGCTTTCGAAACAGAATGATTTTTTCACCTTCCAGTTCTGCACAATATGGTTTCCTTAGCCTGGATTATGACTGGTGTTAAAGCTCATGATTTTTCATGCCAATCTCACAATTTTCCTCGAATTGTCAATTAGGAAGCCAGAAGGGGACTTCTCTGATCATCTCAGCAGATCCTTCATCTTTTTAACCAAACACAAATCCACAGTTGCTCCCTTGTCCTTTATCGAAAGGAGAGGCCACAGGAATCATCCACTGTGTGGTTCCCACGCACAGAGGTGCTGTTACCCTTCACCAATCTATACCAGCCACCAAGCCAACCCATCGAAGGCCCTTCAAACTGGCTCAGCCCGGAGATCAACCAGAAATGTGCCCTCACCGAAGCTGGGTCCGTGCACTGAGTGGAAGAACTTCCCTTGGCCCCTTGGTTTCCTCAGCAAGTGGCGACGCAGATTCCTGTCTGCTGGATTCTCAGCGTGCGTGGCTTATAACCTGCCTGTGGCTCCAGAGCCAGATGCCTCCGAGGCAGCGTGCAGGCAGGGCTGGCCCACGCCTCCCAGTCTGTCATTAATCCTCTCTCACCCAGACTTGGCATCAGCTAATGCCTGGGTGTCACCAGCAAAAAGGATCAGAGGTGTGGCCAGGTAAAGAAGATTAGGGGCAACTCACGTGGCCCAGATGTGAGGTGGAAAGCCTGAGTTGTCATTTTCCCCCCCAGGATCACACCAGGCAAAGGTGGAACAATCTATGTAGGTCTCCCCAAAATGAGAGGGCATGCTGGGCGGGTGCCAAGGGAGTTGCTGGCTAGTTGTGTCGTAGCAGGGAGTTAGAGAATCAAGCATGGCAGAGTGTGTTTGTGTGTCTGAGAAGGGACTGCCTCTTGCTGTGAGACTTGGGCCCTGATTCCCATCCCACTTCACGCCTCTCCCCCTGAGCTTGGTAGGGCCGTGCTTTTATCCCCCACACCAGAGGGGGAAACTGAGGCACTGGAGGGCTAACGAGGCAGGGTGAGGCTAAGAGACTTCCTCAAGGTGGTACAGGGAAGCTGGCAGAGCAGGGCCTTGACTGTGAGCGCTTGGTAATTCTCTAACCACTGCCACACCCTTCCTCTCCGAAGGCCCAGAGGTTCCACCTTCGAGCTGGGGCGATGTTGCTGGGTTTTGTTCAGCTGTGATCTGCCCCTTCAGGGTGCCGGAAGAGGGGATCAAACCCTTTCCCGGTTGGAGCTTGAGGTCCAGGAGAGGGAGCCAGCGCTCCATCTCAGTGGCTGCAGGGTAGACATGGGCCATGCAGAAAGTTTTCCTGCTCCCTAGCTCTGTGTGTGTGTGTGTGTGTGTGTGTGTGTGTGTGTGTGTGTGTGTGTGTGAGAGAGAGAGAGCGAGAGAGATTGTGTGTGTGAGAGAGAGAGAGACAGAGAGAGATTGTGTGTGTGTGTATGTGTGAGAGAGAGACAGATAGAGATTGTGTGTGTTGTGTGAGAGACAGAGATTGTGTGTGTGTGTGTGAGAGAGAGAGAGATTCTTGGCTCCTGTCCCTCCCTGAGCTCTCAGGGACTCCACGGTGGTGACCGCTGCTAGTATGCAGGAGGTTGCAGGGCCAGGATAGCATGGCCTAGTGGGTAGCGGATGGCAGGTAGGTCTGGGAACCAGTATGTTTAGCTTCTAGTTTGGCTCCAGAAGGGGAGTGAGGGGTAGTGGTTAGAGTATGGGAGGGCTGTGAGCCAGCACTTTTCAGTTCTCACCTGGCTCTCAGAGGGGCATGGGGGCTGGGACTCCTGGGATCTGTCCCCCAGCCTGCCAGTGACCCACCGTGCCACTGCCCCTGTTTGTGCTTTAATCTGCCCCATGTAATTACACCCTGAGTTTTCTGGGGTGTGGAGCTTTCCCACTGGGCTCAGCACAACAGGGCCTCGGGGCATTGTAGCAATAGAAATATTAGTTGCTCCATTGCTGGTGTTTTGTTGTGATACCATCTGGGCTACACCCCTCCGCATGTGCCTCACCTCCTACATCTGGGATCTGGGACACAGAGTTACCTAATAGTACAGCTGTAGATGACACCTTCTGGAATGAGTTAAAGTTCTCTGCTGGGGATGGATTGGAGCTGAGTCAATGTTAATTCTGCCCCCCTCCCCCGACTAACTCCAGACAACTCCACCTTAACTTAATCTCCCACAACCTTAACTTTCCCTTCAAGCTTATCTGTACTCCCTCAACTTAAACTGCTCTGCTTCAACAGTAACACTGACCCCTTAACCTTAACTCCACCCCTTCAACCGTAACACTGTCCCCTTGCACACCCTTAACTCTGCCCCCCATAGCATGTGTGTGTGTGGGGGGGGGGGCAGTAGTGGAGCATGTACCAAGTGGGATCCATAGTAGGGGAGCGTAATGGGAGGACAAACCAAGTGGGGTCAATGACAGAGGGAACCGTGGGAAACGTGCTAGGTGGAATCCATGGTGAAGGGGTGTTAGGGGAAGTACCAAGTGGGATCCATAGCAGGGGAGAGTAAGGTAGGATGCACCAAATAGAGCTCATGACAAAGCCGGGGGGGGGGGCAGGGGGGGAATGTCCCAAGGGGTTTCATGGTGGGGGAGGGCAGTGAGGGACATACCATATGGGGTTAATAGCAGAGTGGAATAGTGGGGCACGGACCAAGTGAGGTCCATGAAAGGGGAGGGGCATGTACCAAGTGGAGCCCATAGCAGAAGGGGGGGGCAATGGAGGATGAATCATTTGAGATCAAGAGTGGGGGTGGGGTGGAGTGGGGCATGTATCAAGTGGGGTCCATAGGGACGGGTGGCAATCGAGGACATATCATATGAGATCAATAGTGTGGGGATGGGGCATGTACCAAGTGGGTTCCACAGCAGAGGGGGGAATGGAGGGTGTATCATAATGGGAGAGGGGCAGTGGGGCATTTTCTGTGCCTAGCGGAGGAGGCTGCTCGCAGATAGGAGTTGCTGAGCAGAGGCTCATGGGAAGGATTTTTTGGGGTGTGGGGACACAGACCAGAATTTTAGCGCCTGGTACATCAGGGTCCAACTACCAGGTCCCAGTAGACAGCATGTGACATCCCACCCCCCGCCCGGCCCGCCTGGAGACCGGCCTCTTGGGAAAGGAAAGCCCAAGACCCAGTTTGGCTGGGGTGGGGGACACAAAGGGCCAGGAGCGTAGCCCTGCATGGCTTTTACCCCCCAAAGCCCTCCCACGGGGCGGGGGGGGGAGAAATGGGTCCTGGTCCCCGTTTGAATCGAAGGTTTGAGGCAGACCTTTGACTGTGGGGCCAGGGATGGATTGGAGCTGGTGCCCCCTAGCAGGCAAAGGCCCCGTATCCCATTCCCAGCCCCCCTGAGCCAGCCGGCCCTGGGGCCAGAGACTAGAAACGCGGCACCATTCAAGCAGGCCTTGTGGAGCAGCCAGGGCAGGAGAGGTGCATTCCAGAGAATTTATTGAGTCTTCCTCGAGCCTGAACCCGACTCTGAGCTAGGGTCAGTAATTAGCCCCTCCTGGCCCCTGGCCCAGCCCCCAGGTCGTCACTGCCCCGCGATGATCTTCTGGATCCAGTCGAGGTATTTGCAGATGCTGGTGTAGACACCAGGCTTGTTGGCCTGGGCACAGGGGTGATCTCCCCAGGAAACCAGGCCCTGCAGCTTCCCATCACAGACCAGGGGCCCCCCGGAGTCACCCTGGGGAGATGCCACAGAAAAGACATAGGTCAGCCACGCCACGCAGAGCCACAGAGACACTGTCAGGCCATGCCACGGAGACAGCCCTGCCACGCTGCACAAAGCCACGGAGACACCGTCAGGCCCTGCACAGAGACAGCCCTGCCACGCTGCACAAAGCCACGGAGACACCGTCAGGCCCTGCACAGAGACAGCCCTGCCACGCTGCACAAAGCCACGGAGACACCGTCAGGCCCTGCACAGAGACAGCCCTGCCACGCTGCACAAAGCCACGGAGACACCGTCAGGCCCTGCACAGAGACAGCCCTGCCACGCTGCACAAAGCCACGGAGACACCGTCAGGCCCTGCACAGAGACAGCCCTGCCACGCTGCACAAAGCCACGGAGACACCGTCAGGCCCTGCACAGAGACAGCCCTGCCACGCTGCACAAAGCCACGGAGACACCGTCAGGCCCTGCACAGAGACAGCCCTGCCACGCTGCACAAAGCCACGGAGACACCGTCAGGCCCTGCACAGAGACAGCCCTGCCACGCTGCACAAAGCCACGGAGACACCGTCAGGCCATGCACAGAGACAGCCCTGCCACACTGCACAGAGCCACGGAGACACTGTCAGGCCATGCCACGGAGACAGCCCCGCAGGACCATGCAGAGCTATGGAGACATAGCCACCCGGCACTGGGCAGACAGCCTCCCCATGCCATGCAGAGCCACACTGCGCAGAGCCATGGAGACACAGCCACCAGAGCCATAGCAGATCATGTCCCCAATCTTTGCTCCCCATCTGCCCCGCCCGCGAGAGGGACGCAGGGAAGCGCCTTCACCTGGCAGGAGTCTTTGCCCCCCTCCGGCACCCCAGCACAGAGCATGTTCTCCGTCACTTTCCCGGGGTACTCGGCCTGGCAGTCCTCCCCGGAGACTATATCGATGTCCACGCACTGCGGGGTGTCAGGGTACGTCTCTGGAAGGGAAGGGCTCTCGGTTCTTCACCAGGGTTGGCCAAGGAAGGGGGGAAGGAACGGTTGCTTTCCCCTCTAGCCCCACCTCGGCATTTGATCCTGCAGCCTCCCGCCCCCCCAGCTGCCCCCCAACTCTGCCAGTGCCCCATAATCCTGACCCGAAGCCTCATGTTAGCCCTGCCCCCAACTCTGCCAGTGCCTCTCAATCCTGATCCAAAGCCCCACGCTATCCCTGCCCCCCAACTCTGCCAGTGCCCCATAATCCTGACCCGAAGCCTCATGTTAGCCCTGCCCCCAACTCTGCCAGTGCCTCTCAATCCTGATCCAAAGCCCCACGCTATCCCTGCCCCCCAACTCTGCCAGTGCCCCATAATCCTGACCCGAAGCCTCATGTTAGCCCTGCCCCCAACTCTGCCAGTGCCTCTCAATCCTGATCCAAAGCCCCATGCTATCCCTGCCCCCCAACTCTGCCAGTGCCCCATAATCCCGACCCGAAGCCCCATGTTAGCCCTGCCCCCAACTCTGCCAGTGCCCTTCACTCCTCACCCACAGCCCCTTGGTAGCCCAGAGTGGACCTGGGGTCTGTTACCCTCAGGGCTGGTGGTGGTGCCCCATCCCATCACGGTGCAGTGGGTCCCTGGTGTGGGGCAGGTGTCAGTCAGGCTGAGGGGCTGCACGCAGTCGGTGTAGACGGCCGGGGGTGAAATGCGGATCAGCATGATGTCGTTCTCGTAGTTCCGGCTGTCGAGGCCAGAGGCGTAGAACTTGCAGTGGGGGGTGATGTTCTGGGCAGCGGAGAACTGCTCGCACCCCGAGAACGAGCTCAGGCTGTGTTCCCCCAGGCGCAGCTGGATGTGACTGAGACAGAGACCAGAGTCCTGGGCCGTTTGTCAGGCCCAGCCTCCGCACACCCGGAGACGATGTCGTTCTCGTAGTTCCGGCTGTCGAGGCCAGAGGCGTAGAACTTGCAGTGGGGGGTGATGTTCTGGGCAGCGGAGAACTGCTCGCACCCCGAGAACGAGCTCAGGCTGTGTTCCCCCAGGCGCAGCTGGATGTGACTGAGACAGAGACCAGAGTCCTGGGCCGTTTGTCAGGCCCAGCCTCCGCACACCCGGAGACCTCACCAGACCTGTGCTCTAGAGCCCCCCCCCGCCCCCCCCCCCCCCCCCGCACCCCACCCAA